CTATTTACGATTCTGGTCGATTTTTGCCCTAAACGCTTTGATAATGGAGCTCTCCGAAACGTCAGCAATGCAATTCCTTCTATCCGGTGAGCACTTCATCCTTCGCAGATAACAACGTCCTCCGGCGAAGCATTCCAAACAGCAACCACTGTTGGAGAAGAAGAAGAATTCCCGTGTGTCTAGTCGGGCACCAGTCAGGCATAGTTTGAGTGGATGACCTCTCAGATAGTCACCAACTCGAAGAAGTCTCCTGATGCAAGGCAGCAGTCGTGATTGCGCAGGATACAGAAACTTAGTATTGGGCCACCACGGAGCTACCTGTAGCCCAAAAAAGAGAGATCAAGCCTAGCTAATCGCGTTTTGTTGGGCAGTGACCCCTGTCCAATTAAAAACTTCCTTGTCCGCCGTTGAACGTTTTCGAGTATGCCAAGGTCCTTAGCGATTCAGGGTCGCCATGCTTGGAAAGCAAAATCCAGATGCGACTGCCCAAAAGTTCGAAATGCCTTAGCTAGGCAGGCTTCATCAAATGAGGAAAACGCCCGTTTGGCGAGGCGCATGATGGAAGTCGCCGACTTGGCTACCTTTGAGCAGTGCAGCGAAGGCTTGAGCGAGGGTGGGGTGCACACACCCAAATCCTTTGGGGCGTAGATTTCTTGCAATGGTTTGCCAGTCAGGCGGTAGACCATGCGGTTAAGGGAAGCTGTTTCTGCCGACTCGTCGGAAGTTACATTTGTTTACGTTAAACGGCAAAAGCCAGTTGTTCTACCATTGCTCTATGTGGTCTAGGTTTGTCTGCAATCGCGCTTCGTCAACTTAAATTCGTGTAGTACTCCAGATCTTTATAGCGTCAGCAAACATTGCGACATCGCAATCCAGTTCGTTTGCACAGTCGTTGACGTATATAATGAACAGTGTAGGGCCAAAAACGGAGCCTTGGGGAACACCACACTTAACTGCAACCTCCACACACTGCTGACCACTGACACGAACAGCTTGAGAACGATCGAGTAAAAAGCTCCAAATCCACATCCGAAGTTTACCTCCCGTTCCTAAACGGCTGCGTTTGCACAGAAGACGATGGTGAGGCACACTATCAAAGGCCTTCTTGAAGTCGATATAGACAGTTTGCACCATATTCCCTCTGTTAACAGCGCGAATCCAGTGTTCGAGACAGAAGGGCAATTCTGTCACGCAGAACCTGTCTTTGAGGAATCCATGTCGGAAATCGGAAAGTAGGTTTTGTTCAAGAAACTGCATCAATTGTTGCTTAATTATTTTCTCCATAATCTTGCAGCAACTGGAGTTGAGGCTAACTGGTCTGTACTTGTTTGCAGAGACCCGACTTTCGCCCTTATACAGCGGCGTATTCCACCTTGATTTCCAATCGGCTAGCAGATATCCGGCCTCGAAGAATGTATGGAAAAGCATAGAGAGTGGTTTAGCCAGCTCACCAGCGAGTGCCTTCAAAATCTTTGCCGGAATCTCATCGGGACCTAGTGATGTTGATTCCTTTAGCCTCATCAACTCCATCAGAACCGTGCCCTCGGTGAACTGAACGGTAAACAAGGCAAAAGCGAAGAAACATGCTGGATTTATTGTCGTCATAACATTTCGTGACCTCTTATTCAACTACACACGGTCATTGCGCATTTATGAGATAAGGGAAGCTGTTCAATCAGAGATAGGCCTGGAGGGATGAAACATGATAGGTAAATAAAACATAGAAAGTTGGTCTGATATACGGGTGCGCATGGCGAGAGGGAGAGGGGGAGGGAAGTTATCTAAGCAATCGAGTTTACATTACGGTGGAAACTTGCCAGGCGTGAATAAAATTCAACACGCGGGACGGCAGTCAGTCATGCGGGGGGAGGGAGAATGAGAGAAACGGGTGTGGAAATGACGTCATTAAATTCTGCATGTTTCATCGCCTATGCCTTGTTCAAAATTCTTCTGGGAAAACACTGCTTCAATGAACAGAACGGTCTCAATAATTGCAGCCTCTTCGAAGTCGCTCGCGGGAGGATAGAATCCAGCTTCCCTACTAAAACAGACAAAAAATTCGGAAAGGTGGTCAACTTTTGCTTTATCTTCAGTGCGATTTTCACCTTCAGCAGTCCTTAGCAGTGGCATTGGGCCCTTGTTTCGCGTGCTCTGTCTTATGTAACCGTAGAATAATTTGAGGTTCTCCGCTGCACGATTAAGCGGATCCTCAGAATTGAGGATAAGGTCTTTGATTCGATTTCTTTGAACTTTGTACGCACTTATGGATGTGGGACTCCTGTCAGTAAGTGACTTTTCCCACAGCCTTGGCTTTTGACTCACCTCATTCTTCAAGGCTTGCGTAAGCCATCGAAGTCTGTTAATTAACCTCTTTCGTGAAAGCGGACAGCGGTTTGCGATGAGCCTGTGTAGTACTTCTCGGAACCGTTGTCAGTCCTCGAGTACATCTCCCACTCAATGCGTGTAATTTTAGCCCTCAGTTGGTCGAAATCCCCACGCCAAACGCTTCTTCTAATTGTCGTGGGTCCCTCGGACATGGAAAAGAGCGAGTAATCTCACAGTAGAACGACGTGGTCACTTTTACCTGAGGGGGGGGGGGAGTAGGCATGACACCTCATCAGTGCTGTCCTGTGATTTCGTAAAGACAAGGCAGTTGGCCTCCGCGTACTCTAGTTGGAAACGTGACGTGTGGAGTGAGAAATAACTTCAGTGTCATGTTCACAAAACTCCCATCGCAGGTCTGTGCTGAGTTATTTGCGTGGGCCAAGCTCCAGTCAATGTGATGCGTGTTAATGTCACCCATTATCAGGATATCTGTCCGTGTAGCAAACTTTTCGAGCTCCTCCAGCAGGAGGGCGTCGGCGATGTAATCCCGTTTCGGCGATAGATAGACTGTCAGAACATCGAGGCTCGGTGAGCCCGGCAATTTGATAGACAGCCAGATTGCCTCGGAAGTACACGAAAATTTACCGGTTTTGTCTGATACATTTACTCCATGTTTCACGTTCGTGAGTATGCCTCTTCCCTGAATTTTAATTTCCGGTTGATGGAAGCTACGGTTAAATTTTGGTTAACGCCATCACATAATAGGTCGACTGCGCGGTCATCCGGACCGGACCTGTCCAAAGGAAGAATGACGGACGCTGCCTTACTTGGTTGATGTATATCAACAAATTGGCCTTCCCTTTGATAAGCCTCTTTCTTAGTTCCAGAACTAGTTGACGACGTTTCAGTCGTCCCGCTGGTGGGTAGTCCGGTGGAAAAAGGACACCTGAGTCGTAACCTTTAATCCTAAATCGCCTGGAAAGAATAAGACTAGCTTAGTCACTGCTGGCCTGTACAACTTTAAGACACCGGGGACGTGTTGATTCCGATGGATTTTGTGCCGTTTTCCTAGGCGGAATGCTTTGATCACTTCAATAACGTCAGTGCTTTCCAAAATATTATTGAGGAGATCTTGAAAGAGTGACTGGTCTTCCGAAACCCGTTCCTTGGGAGTATTTGCACCTGATCCAGGGAGCCCCTTCATAACGAGACATTCTCCTCTGTCGACTTCTTTTTATTTTCTACGGAGGTGTCGCTCCCTCAATGGCGTAACGCTCTGGGACTATGCGCTTCTGTATTCGGTGCTAAGACGTGGCATAGACGGAGTAATTAACTACGCCGGAGCTCGCGGCATCCCTTTGTCATGTTTTTGTTTATGCACTACTTTTTATAATTATTCTGTTTGTTAAGCATTTCCTAAACACACATTTATTCGCCCTTGTTTAAGTTGGTGTTTATTCAACGGTCGCGCGGAGACTACATTTGCTGTGAGTTTCGGTTTCAGACGGTGACTTTTCACTCACTGCCTTTGTGTAGCGGCCGAGGACCTCAAGGATGACACACACCGAGGTAGCGAAGCCCTGGGAAGAGGTCCTGACTACGATCGATCTGAATCGAGCTGTGAACATGTTGCAATACTCATCCATACGCAAGGAAGGAAGATACGCTAGGTAGGCAATAAGATATAATGAGTAGAGATGGAAACTGGGAATACATACACAAAATGTATGATAGTAGTTAATTGTACAGACGGGACAAGTTACAACAGGGGAGTGACCTGTCTGGATGGTGAGAGGACAGTGACATGCCAGCTGAATAACTGGTGGGGAACGCAGCGCTGTGGGCAACTGCAGGGGAGGGCCGAGGAAGGTGCAGACGTCGAGAGACGGGGAGAGAGAATGCGATGCGAGCGTTACGGAAAATGGAGAGGAGGAGGTCGACGGCAGACTGTGGGAAGGACACCGGCCGTTTTCACCGACACGCAGTTACTCTATCTCCATCTTAGGTCCGCGCGCCAAAAGTGTCCCTTCATTCAAACAACCCTATACAGATCGTGGGACGTTACATTTATGCTCCACTGGGCGGTGTTGACAGTTAAGTCCGTTCTAGCGTGATCGTTTCGCTTAGCTTTTCCCAACTTGGTGTCAGCGTGGGATCGTTTTATGGATCGACTAGGCCGCTCAAATGGCGACCCCTGAACGACAACGCGCGTCGCCTTTTCACGCGTTTTCACTCACCGACAGTAGACAGTCAAACATTGTGCCGTGCCGTATTGATTCTTTCCTCGCGAACACTTTCACTTAGATCTTTTCGCAGCCCCAGTTGTGACGGACGCTCCTGCTAGTGGAGGCGATCCCATTAGCGCAGTAGTACTGTCTCTACCGGACTTCTGGACGAATGCACCTGAACTTTACTTCCTTCGCATGTAATTAAGTTCTTACTCTGCGAATATTAACAAAGGCGTTAACAAAATTCACAGGCTGGTACAGGCTTCGCCGTGACATGTTCTTTCTCAGGTACAATCATTGATCCAGAGTCCCCCAGCCGACCAACAATACCCGCAGCTTAAGGCAGCACTCCTTCGACTTCATGCTGTGCCTGATCGCCAGTGGTATCACCAGCTATTTCGCGAGGAATGTTTAGGCGACCTGAAAACCGCCGAACTTCTTAGAAGGATGCAAGGACTTCGTAGTGAGCTTAACATCGACGATAAACTTTTCAAGGAACTGTTCATGGAACGTCTGCCAGCTGATGTGCAAACAGTTCTGTCATCTGACTCAGAAGATCTCTCGGTCTCACGGCTAGCCGGGATGGCGAGGAGGATGTTGGAGGTGCAGCGGTTCCAACCGCCATCTGTCGTCCAGCTCTGCATTTCCTCGTTACCGAAGCTAAGTGAGTAGATTGCGAAGCAGATGGGGGTCATAGCAGAAGAAATGTCGTCCCTAAAACTCTGGCTTACATGCCTTACCTCTAGTCACGCATCTGGTCGTCCTCGTTCCCGTTCGCGACCTTGAACAGCCGATGTTTGTTGATATCATATGAATTTCGGGGCGAAGGCTCGTCGATGTTCCTCCTCCTGCTTATTCAAGTTCAAGCAGGGAAACCAGTCAGCCAGAGGACAGAGGCGACCGTTTTCTCTCGCCCTTCCGGCTCTGGTCGCACCTTCTATGTTTGCGACAGTGTGACTCGCAGACGTTTCCTTGTGGACACTGGAGCCCAAATCACCGTTGTCCCCCCAACTCCAGCCGATCGTCGTTTCCTCAGCCCGAGCTTCCACCCCCCGAGCTGCCAACTGTTCCCCCATTCCCACTTTTGGAGTTTGGCCCTCACCTTAAATATTGGCCTTCGTCAGTCGTTCTCCTGGATCTTTGTGATTGCTGATGTCCCTCATGCAATCCTCGACTCGGATTTTCTAGCTGAGCTGGATCCCCTTGTTGACTGCGGACGTTCCCGTCTCCTCGACCGCACAACTGGCCTGTCAGTTCGCGGATTAACTCCCTATACTACCCTCAGCAACTTATTTGTTCTGGTTACAGGTATTGCTGGTCTCTATCGGGAGCTGCTGTTTCAACACCTGAACATCATCAACCCGCAATTTCGCAGTGGCGAGGTCCAGCATGATGTTGTGCATCACAACCGCACATCAGGTCCTCATGTGTTCGTTTGGCCAGACGACTAACACCTGCCCGCCTGCAGGCCCTGAAAGCAGAGTTTGAGCATATGCTGCAACTGCGCATCATCCGGCCGTCCGAAAGCCTTTGGGCTTTCCCTCTGCACATGGTGCCCAGGGCGATATTGGGTGAAAGGAGACCCTGCAGCGATTATCGTGCCCTCAACAATGCAACCATGTCTGTTCGGTACCCTGTGCCACATCTTCAGGATTTCGCCGGAGCCCTTTTTGGCAAAACGGTTTTCTTGAAGATTGACCTGGTGCGTGCCTTTCATGACATTCCTGTGGCCCCTGAGGATGTCTCCAAGACCGCCGTCATTACCCCACCTTTCGGCCTCTTCGAATTCATCCGAATGCTTTTCGGTCTTCGTAATGCCGCCTAAACGTTCTACAGGTTCATCGTGGCCTTCCGTTTGTGCACGCCTACATCGATAACCTCTTTGGTGGCCAGTCAGAATGGCGAAAAACACTAAGAGCACTTTGCCGTGAGGCTTGACTTTCTTGAAAAAAAATTGGCGTTATCATCAACACCTCCAAGTGCGTGCTGGGTGTGTTTCCGCTCGAATTCCTCGGCCATCATGTCAGGTTTACGCTCCCTGCCCTCCAAGGTTTAAGCAATTCGTGATTTTCCCCCACCAACCTCCAAGCGTCAGTGACAGTGATTCCTTGGAATGGTCAACTTTACCGCCGGTTCCTAACGAACTGTACCGATCTTATGCTGCCGCTTACCAACATGCTTTCTGGTCTCAGAGGCTCCCTCGATCTGACTGGCGAAGCATTGACTGCTTTTGGGAGAATTACAAATTCTCTTGCCGACGCGGTCGGACAATTGTATGTAGCCTGGACTATGCAAGCGAACGGAAGGTCCGTGTCATACGAGATGGGGGGAAAGAGAGTGTTGAAAGGGTGGGGGGGGGAAATGGGGAACCCAGCGAAGAGTTCAAAAAAGTAAGTAAGAAAAATAGGTTTAGAAAGTTAATAATTAAATTTGTTTGAGGTAAAAAATGTGCCGAAAATTCAAAAAGTAAGCTGTAACCAATAGGAACAAGATACCCAAGGCCAAAGCCATTCCACTGGAGGTGCCCCAGACGATACTGTCACGGATGATGAATCCCAGTGAAATGCCAACGACAAGCAGGGCAGTGGAAAGTGAACCCGAGCAACGGTAAGTATGAATGCAAAATACGCAGGACGTAGAGGACTGAGGCTGTAATTATTAATTTGTTCCATAATTACCAAACGTTTCCCACTTATAGAACACGGACAGCAAAGAAGAAGCGGAAGGCCGCTCCGCAAGCAAATAATCCATCGGAGTTTGGACAGATCCTGGATATTATCCAGTCCCCGTATTTAGTGCAATATTTGCAAGCTGAAGGACTGCTGGCGACGGAAGTTAGATGTCGCTGTCGTAAGTCGATGACACTGCGAATATTGCGGCAGCACACGGACGGGTTTGCGTTCAGGTAAACCAAAATAATAATATAATCCATGGGCTAGGTGTAACAAATGTGGCACCAAAAGGGCACTGAGAACGGGTTCGGTGTTTAAGGATAGTCGCTTGACGTTATCGAAGGCAATGAGAACGGCCGTTGCGTTTTTGGAGGGAACCGGTGTGGTGAGATGCGCAGCTGTGGTTGGCATAGGTGTGACTGCGGCAGTCCAATGGTATGACATCTGGCGGGATGTCTGCAGTAAGGCCCTCCTCAAGGAAGTCAAACAATTAGGAGGGCCGGAAGTAGAAGTTCAAGTGGATGAAACACTGATAACGCGCCGCAAGTACAATGTCGGACGGTTAAGAAATGAGCACTGGATTTTGGGTAAGGGTCTGCAGTTCGATGACCAATCACAGGCATGTACGATACATGTAAACGGAAAGCGATATTTGAGCAAGTAAACGATCGCAGCTGGTCCTCCCTGAAGGCCGTTATAAAGAAATGGGTTGCTCCCGGAAGCATAATAGTGACTGCCCAGTGGAAGGCATATGCAAAGCTAAGTGAAGAGGGATACCGGCACGAAACGGTGAATCATTCGAAAAATTTTGTGGACCCCACCTCCAGAAAGAACACGAACGCAATTGAGGCCTATTGGAGTAGGCTGAAAAAGAAGTTGCGCGAACGCGGACCTATGAAAGGCCGAAGGATATGGGCCTACCTCGATGAAGCACAGTACCGACTGTAGTTCGGACTGAAAGCAAGTAATTTGGCAGAGTCCTGGGAAAGATTCCTGTTCCATGTGGCTCAGGCCTATCCAGTATCGGAAGCGCAATCGGAAACCGAGATAATTTGCAGCTGACCAGAAAGGTAAGCAGTAACATGTTAATGATGTTGTACACCTAGTTGAATAATAGCGGCCACTGTAAAAACAGTCAGACGGAACAGCCGAACGGCCAGACAATGGACATTTTGGCCATTGAGAACGGGCGCAGCGGGAAAAGTTTTGTAATTCTTTCATGCTCCGCACATAAATAGTGAATTCGTTACTATACCTCTGAACTTTTGCTCCCGTTTAATCCCATAACCCCAGCCAAAAATGCGCCAACGAAGATTGAATGCGTAATGTTTGAAGGGATTGATGGTAAACCAATGTACAACCTAGCTGGCGGTCTTGACCAATCCAAAGGCTACTTCGTAAGTACGCTAGCCGTCAAGTCAACGGGAAAGCCAAACCTACTGGTCGCCGAAAGGCGGCCAAACCGCCCAACCGCACGGACGTACGAAATCGGCCGACGCGCAAAGGGAAGGCGATCGAAGGAGACCGCACAGAGATCCCGAGGCCCGGGCGTACACCTAAGCCCGTGAAAGTGCAAAGCAAAGCCGAAGCCCTATTGTTGGGTAGCCGTTCCTAAGCCAGCTGTGGTGGGGTGAAGGGGCGGGGAAATGAGCCGTACGGCAGGCAAAGAAAGCAAGCGGCAAGCGGCCTTAGTTGACCACACAGGAAGCCAGCGACCGGGTTTAACGTCTATATGGGGAAGCCACGAAAGGCAAACCTGCGCCGATTAAGTGCACCCAACGCCTACGCGCCAAGCTAACTGGCGCGGTAGCCGCAGGGAACGCGATATGGGAGGCCCCCCAGCGATCAAATATAACCCGGCAGTTTCGTAAAGGCGGGGGGTGGGGGCTATTAGCCTGTTAACACGACTGAAGCAGCTTGCAGGTAGGAGCATAATGTAAAGCGTGTTGAATCGCAATCCGCAAAGGTCAAGGATTTCGCCTTTTACTGAAGATTTCCGTGGGGAGGGGGCGGTGCAATGCAATGTGCCCATATAGGCAGTCTTACAGCACCTCGTTCTCGGGGCGGTTACAGTGAAGGAGAAAGTCATCCTGACAGACACTATACGCCAAATAAAGCAAACATAGCTGGAGCAATAACATGAAGGACTTTACAGCATAACCGCCCTTCCTTCGCCCAATCGGCAGTTGTAAGTATGAAACCTAATAAAAGCACGCCTACTGATAGGAAGCAAGTACGTCAACAATGTTGACTCATGATCCCAGGCTACTCACATTTGTCTCGTCCGGAATTCTCCTGAACGTCGTGACATCACTATTCTCACGGACCACGAACCTCTAACTTTTGCTCTTCCTTACCACCCCGACAAGTACAATCACAGAAAGATCGCCCACCTGGACTACATCTCCCAGTTAACCACCGACATCCGCCACATTGACGGGACGAAGAATGAGATGGCTGACATGCTGTCCAGGCCATCACTATCTTCGCCCAAACTCTCACACGGGGTCGACCTTTGCGCCATGGTGGCTGAGCAACAACTAGTCGGTTTTCCTGGTGACGGGTCCGTTAGCGGTCTCCAATCCATAGAAGTTGTCCTGACCACCGACTCTGGTGTCGTACTTTGTAACGTCTTGACTTCTTTTCATCGTCCTTTGTGTGCCCCCCTCGATGTATTGAGCTGTGCTTCAAACTCTGCATGGATTCTCCCACCCTTGACTACGAGCCTCACAAAAGCTCCTCGCCGAAAGATTTGTCTGGCCTGACATGAACGAGGTAGTGTCTGCATAGGCATCGGAACAAGGTACGACGCCATAACAAGTACCCTCTGACACTTTTCTCAGCCCCAACTCATGGTTTAGCCATGTGCACCTGGATGTCGTCGGCCCCTTGCCTTCATTCAATGGCTATACTCACCTGTTGATCGGTATACCCACTGAGCTGATCCTATCCCATTGCCGAACACTGAGGCGTAAACCATCGTTAAGACTTTTGTCAGCCGTTGGGTCGTTTTTTTCTGTGTCACATCCACGGTTACGACTGACCGAGGATCCTGGTTCGAATCTGCTTTTTTCCAAGCCTTTCTCAACTTTCTTGGCTGCACGTGCATTCGGACGACGGCATGCCATCCAGCTGCCGATGTCATGGTCATGCATTTCCACCGCCAGCTAGAGACTGCTTTGCGTGCCGCAGAAGACCCAGGACACTTGTCAGACAACCTCGGCCTTGCACTTCTCGGCTTTCGCTCGGTTCTGAAATCGAATGTGGACTGTAGCGCAGCTGAATTGGTTTTCGGCAATACCCCCCGACCAGCAGGTGAGATGGTCACCCCAACCTGTCGTGGTGCCGACGAGACCGCAGGAAATGTTGTGCATCGTCTGAGGCAATTTATGCGCTCACCTTCCCTGGTTCCACCTCGAAGTCTAACGACCTAGTATTTTGTCAAAAAAGGTTTGGTCAACTGCACTCATGTGTTCTTCCCGTGTGCTCAGGCGCAACAGCAAGACCTGCCGAATCCTTCGCGGTGACAAGGAGGACGTGGTCAGTGTTGGTCGGATCAAGGCCGCTGTCGCAGAGGGTCCGCCGGACCTGCCTCAAGTACAGAGATTTACTGAGTCCTAACTCCTGTTCTTCCACCTCCACTATCCCCATGCTCCTCCACCTTCCCGACCATCTCCTGCCTCACTTTCCCCACCGTTTCTAACCCTAACTCTTCCAATGCCACTTGCATTTGCACCGCTTGTAGCGGCCGTCGCGTGCACTTTTTAAACCGCATTAAAATTGCGTTTGCTTTCGGTGCCGTTTTTACGCCAGCCTTCGGTCTAGGTGGGGGCACTGTGGCAGCCCTTTGTCGTATTTCTGTTTATGCGCAACTTTTCATAATAACTCTGTTAAGTAGTTCCCAAACTCACATTTGTTAACTTTTGTTTAAGTCGGTATTAATGTAACGATTAGGCGGAGACTCCTACTGGTGTAAGTTTTGGTTTCGAAAAGTGACTTCACTCATTGCCTTTGTTCTTCACTGTTGACAGTTAAGTCCTTTCTGGCATGGTCGTTTCGCTTGGCTTTCCTCGACTTGGTACTAGCGTGGAATCGCCTTATCATTCGGTTTGATCCGCTAAAGGTCCGCATTTCCTGACATTTTTCTTGCATCTGGGGGCCGGCAATATCATGTCAGTGGCTTCGCGGTGCCAGCATATTTGTGCACCGCATTTGTGTGTTGGGTTGACTTTCAGTTGACTTTCACGACCACCGTTGGCAGCACCACTAACGAATCCGACGCGACAGTTCCCAGCCTATCCTGCCCTCACCGCCACAGCACGTTCACCTGCGCATCGGCCTGGTCGGTCACTTGCGAATCCACCGCACAGAGACCGACGAACCAGTGCCTGAAGCACCAACATCAACCAGACGCCATTGCCCCAATTGCCTGCATTGCACTCACGCGTTAAGCCATCGCATGGACCTACTCGGTCACATGCGCGCTCATGGAGACCTGCAGTAAATCACTGCAGGTATGACCACATCACCATGCATTCCCCCATCAGCACATACATACACCACACATGAACACCTTCAACATCCTACATCACCGGCACCTGCCACGTAAGTGCAAAATGAGACCTTCTCCTCTTTTCTCCATGCGGCTACTCTGACGCATGTGAGATCCGAACGGTCTACTCCTTGTCAGTGCGATTCCGACATGTGCGTATGGGGAACCAGGCTGTGCATGGAACGCGCGTAAATTGGCCGTTCTCAGCTCTGTCAGCCATCTCGCCTAATGGCAGCATCTGTTGGTTGCCCGACATTGACGGACAGCCGGTGCACGGGATAGGGTAGAGCAGGAAAGGTCGACGGTCTCGGCGCATGTTCCCCACTATAAACAATCTGAGGCGCCTGAGTCTATCATAGTGCATTAAAAGCCGTTGCCTGTAAGGTTGCCACGTGACAATTCAATAGATGCCGCGTAGTCAGCCCAGCTGTGTGTTTGTGCATTAAGTGACCGACTGTCGAACTGAGAGTCAGAATGGCATGAATGATTTTTAATTTGGGCTCCACGGAAATGTCATATGCGTGAGATTCGAAACGCTTCCGTCTTGTGTGTACTCCTGGTGTGTGGTTTTGTGGCGCGAGATCGTGCATGTGACGCGTACAGCCCGGTTCTCTGGGCCTGTCTGTCATTGTGCCCACTGTGCACGGCTGCCGAAGCGCAGACAGTTTGCGCATGTACCATAGAAGTCTGAGACATCAGCTGGGTGTACGCACATGACCCCCCGTGTGTGCTATTTTCTCCTCTCACAGGTACCTGTCCACCAAACAGACTATTAGTCAAGACCGACTTGGCTACGTCGTCGTCTAAAAGTAGAACGGTGGGGAGGTAGGGGGCTGGGGGACAGCATTTAACATTAAGCACACGAACTCGACCAGGTTTTGGCACCCTGCGTAGCCGTAACAATCATTTGTCGGTCGGAAGTAGAGGCGGACAAGAGCACAGGGGAGTGAAATGCGGTTACCTGTGGACCAGAGGCAGCATGATTGTAAACCTAATTGGCCGTAAGTGGAACGTCCACCTGTGGGAGGCTTGAACATTACTAGTAAAAGTGTAACGGAGCGAAAAGCAAATAAAATCGGAGCTTCACTAGATTTTTAGGAACGTTATAGACACTATTAATTTGCCGGGCATGAGGCAATGCGTCTGGGTTCACACTTGGAGATCTGGGGCCCGATCTCCAGTAAGACACTGACGGGCTGTAAGTGGGCGTAAGTCGAGTACGCTACTAACTCTCAGAAAGTCTGACACCGCGAGCGCAAATTATTCAAACCTTTGTGGTAGCGTCCAGTGTCAGTTACTACTGTCGTTAGCAAATCGTCAGCGATCTAATGATTTGTAGTGCCGGTTAAATACTGACAAAGCAGGAGCGTGATTGAGACGGGCATCTCTGACCTGGCCAACTGACGTCATTCCTCGGTCCGCACAGACAGCCTTGTGTGTGTTTGCGAGCAATTACCGAATGGTGGACTGAGAGTCAGGCTGCAATGGCTCCTCCTTAATGTGGCCTCTATGGCACTTGAACATCGGAAAGCCTTTGAAAAGGATCTTCTCAACCGTGCCAGGGTTTATCCCAAAGTCCTCTACAGCTACATAAGACAGAGCACGCGGAACAAAGACCCCATCCCACTGCTGCGAACAGCCGAGGGAATGAAAATCTCCGATGACAAGGATAGGGCTGAACACCTCTCTCAGTTTTTCCGGTCCGTCGTGACAAGTGAACCTGATTTTCTCTCCCCCATTTGTGAAGACGAAGAAAAGCCTACCCTTGAAGCCGTATTCTTCACCGAAGCAATTGTTCGGAACGAGTTACTTAATCTGAAAGAATCGACCTCCCCAGGCCCTGATGCAATCCTCGCCAAGCTGCTGAAGGAGCTAGCTCCCGAAATGTCCAAGCCATTAGCCTTGATCTTCCAAACATCATTTCTTACTGGATGCCTACCCTCTGACTGGAAGTCCGCTACCATCACTCCGTTTTTTAAGAGCGGAAGTCGTGCGTCTGCGAATAACTACAGGCCAGTGAGTCTTACCTCCATCCGTTGCAAAATCATGGAGAAGATCATTAAGAAGACCTTGATGCAGTTCCTCGAGCAGCACCACCTCCTCTTTGATGCACAACACGGCTTTCGAAGTGGTAGGTCCTGCCTCACGAATCTGCTCTTTACGCTCGAACGCTGGACCAAAGCACGCGATGAAGGTAGTGTGGTGCACGCCATCTACATCGATTTCAAAAAAGCCTTCGACAGCGTTCCCCACCAACGTCTCTTGCACAAACTACGCAACGCTGGAATTCGTGGACGCCTTCTTGTATGGATCCAGAGCTTTTTGGCTGGACGGTCCCAAAGAGTGCAGGTCGGGCGTCAACAGTCCTCAGAGGTAAGCGTGGTGAGTGGCGTCCCACAGGGCTCAGTCCTAGGTCCCACGTTATTCCTCGTTTTCATAAATGACTGCGTCAAGGACCTAGACTGTGATACCATCCTGTTTGCCGACGACATTAAATTGTGGAAAGTTATTCACAATGCGGCAGACGCAGACCACCTGCAAGCAAACCTGAACAGACTCGAAGACTGGTCGTAGCGCTGGCTTATGCACTTCAATATAAGCAAGTGTAACTTTCTTCAACTCGGCGACTTCAGAGCCCCCAGCCCCAGGACCTACTTTCTACACGGCACACCACTGCAACAGGTTGACAGTCAGAAGGACCTGGGTGTATGGATTACATCTTCACTCAAACCAACACTGCACTGCGCGAAGACGGCTAAATCGGCTATGGCTACACTGCAACTCATTAAGCGAGCATTTATGAGATTAGATCCAGACAGCTTTTCAAAAATATTTGACACCTACGTGAGGCCTCATCTAGAATACGCCATACAGGCGTGGAGACCTTGGACTGCCAAGGACTATACCGTTTTGGAGAAGGTCCAGAGACGGGCGACCAAAATGACACAAGGTCTGGGAGCGCTGTCTTACGAATCTCGACTGTCAACTCTCAACCTGTTTCCACTTTCCTACAGGCAATTACGTGGTGACCTTATACTTGCATTTCGCATTATCAACGGCATAGACTGTTGTTTAGATCCCACTGATTATTTCACACAAGCTAACACGCCCAATTTGCGTGGTCATCCCCTAAAACTACGAGCGGGGAAAGCAAGAATCAATGGGAGAAAGTTCTTTTTCAGTCACAGAGTGGTTGCAGCGTGGAATGCCCTGCCTACCGATGTTGCAACCTCCTCCTGTGTGAATTCCTTTAAGTTTAGACTTGACGCGCATCAAGCCTCCCAGTTACCAGCCTTGCATCCACTCACATAACCGGCACCAACTTAAACTTGTTTATACTACTTGTAACTTGTTAGTAACCGTTATTGATTACTCTTTTTGCCTACCTGTCAGCGATTATGTACAAAACCCCTTTTTTCTCCTTCCCACTATCAATGTTTTTCTCCGACGACTTGTAACCAATAGGGAGTTCAAAGGCGCTCGCCTATATTTCCCTTAATAAACTGAAACTGAAACTGAAAAGTGTAACGGAGCGAAAAGCAAATGAAATCGAAGCTTCACTAGATCTTTAGGAACGTTATAGACACTATTAATTTGCCGGGCATGAGGCAATGCGTCTGGGTTCACACGCGGAGATCTGGGACCCGATCTTCCGTAAGACACTGACGGGCTGTAAGTGGGCGTAAGTCGAGTACACTACCAACTCTCAGAAAGTCGGACACCGCGAGCGCGCAAATTATTCAAACCTTTCTGGTAGCGTCCAATGTCAGTTACTATTGTCGTTAGCAAATCGTCAGCGATCTAATGACCTGTAATGCCGGTTAAATACTGACGAAGCAGGAGCGTGGTTGAGATGGGCATCTTTGGCCTGGCAGTCGTCAAGCCGCCATACCCCAACCGCAAGTTGAGACAACCCAGGATCCAAACCTGGACACTGATCATTGAACACTAAGTCCAATACCCAGCCACTGAGACATGGGCGCGTTGCCCGACGGTTGTGATCAGAAATAATATTAAGTGGCATGGGAGGGTCATTCACTGATCTAGCTGCGGTATAGCACACCCTAATCCTGTTGTTTTCCGAACCTCAATCTAGGGACCCCAGGCAATAGCGAAGCGACTATTTATGGTATAGAATAAATACTATTCGGTATGTAAACACATGCGAGGGATCTGGACTTAGCTCCAGGGCGTAATAGGAACAGGTTGGTAAACCACCCTCTTACACTACCTTCCGCATTTGCTGAAGTACTACACAACAAATCCTTATAATTAACGAAATAATTAACGGATACTGCAAAACACTCCTGTAGAGCTTACTTCAATAGATGTTCATGACTGTTTACAAGGCAACATCCATTTCAAGCAATATTGGAGAACGTTGCAAAATTTCAGCAGTATTTAGACTGCCTATTCGACGATAGCCTGCCCAAACTGTTTCATGGATTTGAGTATGCTCTTGAAAATCCTGAATTTCAGGTAGGTCCAAAGAACTAAATGATGTAGAACAAGACTAGGGAACCTAGATGACCAGTCCATTGACCTTACGTGATCGGTCAGTCGGTCGTGCAAGACTTCTTGGGGCAGTCGCGCGCGCCATAAGCATAATCTGAAGTGGCTGTGACCCGTTGAAACAAGACACGTTCATGCTTTGCATGATGATTTTGCGTAAACACCACCTGTTGTTTTAACAGTTAACGCAGGGCTGCCCTATATGAAGGAACAATTTTTTGATTCTGAAGCCAGGCTCCTCCGAAGCATGCTGATGCAAAAATGGTCCAATTTTTTTGCTCCTACATCAGTGGTCCAAGTCTTGACCTTCGGAAACGTCTGCCTGGACTGCGAGAAAAACGGTGCTGATTGCCGGTATTTCGAAGCGGGGCTTCTTAACCATTCTGGACAGAAGGAATAAAGCCATATCGGTGAAGTGGGCATTCTGGATTCTTCGTGTTTATAGAAGCCCTAAACAGGGTTTTTCTCACCTGTTTGCATCACTGGGTCCAGGCCGCTGTATTTGATCAGCACATAATAGTCAAAACGGCATTTAGTGCTTCTTGAGCAGCAAGCGTGGAGGTGAAAAACACTCTGTTACGGCCGTTTTATATTTTTGCACAAGACCATGAGTAACCCCGTCACCAGCTGAAGTGCATGATCTGCCAATTCTTGATAGATCACAAACGGTGTCTTTCGTCAAGCACTGTTAGGTCGCACTCAAAATTAGCTGCGAGCGACTGCCCTAGCGCCAAAAGGCCTATAATTGAAATTTAGAGCCCTTACCGGAGTTCCGACCTCATTACATGTAAAATACTGCCCGCTGGATCCCCTTTTTAACGGTTAATTTCATACTTTTTGGCTTCTCTCCGCTTATGTCGCCCGTGTGCTGTCGTCCATTTTGGCGTGCTTGTAGTGACGCCTACTCCAGGCGCATGCCGCAGTCCTGTGTCTGTGGCGCGAACAAACAAGCACGTACCAGCCTACGAGGGTCCCAGGGAAGGATGAGGTGGACCCTCACGGGGCAAGGTTAGGACACGACGTGGTCAACCAGGCTGCGCAGAATTCGCGCATTCAATAAAAAAAACGTCACACCCTGCGAGTTCTAGTGCCACGCCAAGGCGCAGGCTACCGCCGCGCTACCCAGTTATGTCCGGTTGCACCATCCGATGGCCGACTGGCTCGGACAGTGGGCTGGTGGCTGGGAGAGCGAAGAGTGTACGAGACCGACTCTGGCTCCACGCCACTCAGCGCACATTACCCACCATAAACACTGGATCGCTTTTAAACTATCACGATGCATTATTGCACGTGGTTTTGAAGGCTGCCAACTGACGGGATACCTCGGTCCTCGAAGACAGCCTTGTGTTCTTGTGTGGAATGGACGACTGGCGGACTGAGAGTCAGCCTGCACTAGATCTTTCTTAACGTGGCCTCTAAGGTTCTCTCTCTCTCTCTCTCTCTCTCTCTCTCTCCCTCTCTCTCTCTTTCTCTCAGTTTGGACCCAACTCACCCTTCTCATGTTTTTTGTGAAAAAATGGTTCATCGCGCGTCGAGCGGCTCGTTTAGCTTTGTCACCCACTGTGGCCTAATCCACATCCGATCGTCCAAACGCAGTTTCGTTACAGGACTCAGGGGTGGGGGGAGGAGTGAGAGAGGGGGGAGCGCGATAAATGCGGCGAAAGTCTGCTATTACTATAAATTAATTCACACGTAAGTGAATGCGCTGCGTCCACCCTGCAGCCGGAACGCACGGTGGACATGGACGTCTGTGACGGTCAAGCTGTCGTTCTAGTTTCACTTTTGTTTTCGACCAGTCACAACTATCCAAACCAACTAATCGATTTCAAGGCTGGCACGCACGCGTCCTCGCTCAAGACGCGTGGACACGTGCGCCGACGTCGGACGTGCGCTTCTTGTTCGAATGCCAGCTTGTTCTACTTAATCCTTCATTCATTCTGTGCACAATACGCTGTTAACCGGCGTATTATTCCCCCCATCCGTACTCGGGACCTGCCCTGAAGGTTTGATTGGCTAGGGCCTGCCAAGGGCTTGAGCTGCCGCAACATGCTAGACGAACTTTCCCTCTAAGAGACGTGTTAACAATTGGCTGGGAGCGTCATTTCGATGGAAAAGCTATGCCCTCAACGTGGCAGCGCTGCAGCATTGCTTCTGTTGTTGGATCCATGCTGATAGGCCTCGTCATGCATACTGTTCGAGTTTCATTGTATTCAAAAGCCTAATGAAACTTTCATTTTCTACGAGCTCCCTGGACATGAAACAAGTAGACGGCCTTAGTAATCTTGTCAGCTAAAAGTGACACTACGAAAATTAATGCTGAATTTTCAGTTAGTTTAGTATGCACGATGGTCGCGACAATGTCAGAATTAGTCGGACAGTACACAGGTCCGATTCACGATGGCCAATGATGTGATATTGTTTGTGGGCTTGCTTGTCGTGTCTGTAGCAGTTTACCCCAGCTGAACCGCAAGTTACCCGAACATACCTACGGATGGACGCAGACGATCATTTCAAAAGGTGTCAAAAAATATTGCTTCCGGAATCTTGATGCATTTTCTGACCAAACTGCATTATATGGACTTTCGATATCGACGGCTTCTCCTACATGGTTGGAAACACTACCACAAACCACTGTGAACTTGTCATTGCAGGACCTCCTTGTCTAAAGAAGGAAAAACGGAACGCCGATAGCAGCGATGTAAAAGAGGGCAAATAATATTACCCAAATCCGATTTACTACAGCGATCATTCGCTTTCCCATTCGCCAACCCGTTTCCTTTCCTCTACTAGAAGCCATAGAAACGACAATACAACCACAGTAATTGAACTCCATGGTCCCAAACCCGTTAACGTCAAGCAGGCCCGATGAAGCTTTTCGAACAGTTCAAGCGATTTAGGATACCTGGAAAGCCAAAGGCAGAAGAATATGATTATGCGCTGGTAACTTGTTCAGCCCCTCGGGATACTTCGGATCCATAACTCGGGGCAATAATCTTACGTCGAAAAATGAGACAGAAGGATCCCTTGCTAAGAGGTGAAACGTCGGCTACTAATCCTCAATT